TTGCTCGGACGTAGGGCTGGGCTTTGGGAGACTTATTATTATTATTATTATTATTATTATTATTATTGGAGGTAAATTTGGGGAGGGGGCAAAGCAATTTATTTAGAAAATTAAATATGAAGTGGAAAATTTGGTTCAAATTTCATATATTAGTCTCTTCTTCTTTCCTTAATCCACGACTAAAGATAGTAGGTATTGGTTAAATATAAAATCTATTACAGGTAGTAACCAGATTCCAAAGGAGCAGATCTTGTAACTGGGGACGTTTCCATAATAATTTTCGCCAATAACGCGCTACCTGCACTTCTCAGTCTTTTGAATGACCTGGAGTTCGGACAAGTTATTTCATAGTCTTTGAGGAACAAATCGCAGAGCTCTCGTAGCTATCGGCACTACCTGTGTTTTTACTAATCCGCTTGATCCTGATTCTGGAAACACGTATTTCTGAAGTTTCTCTGCCTCCTTGAAGTTCGTCCATATTGCATGATAACACAGCAACATAAATAATTTTGACATAGCAACATCAAATCAATCAATTACAATTATGTGCAGGGGCTGTTCTTTATCTGGTTTACAGGTTCACACAAAACCCAACAACTTGAACAAAATAGAATATACACTTCGTTATTACAAACCCATTAATAGTAGGACTTTTTATCTCCTCTTTTTATAAATATACCAGAATCCATACAGTACAGTCCATACCAGAATTACAATGACGAACCGATGTTGCTAGGTTGCTGTTCGTGTTTTAGAGACCACACCTCGCTTAGACCTCATTCCATTAGGACCGTTGTGTACCACAAGACATCGCTTCTGTGTTTTCATTAGGCGCTTTCATCTGATCATGCTCATACTTAACCAGCGAACTCCGCTTGTCGTAGCACTATCATGTTAGCGCGTCACCCCACTCTGAGTCGAAGTCTTCGTCCAACACCACCTAAATTCCAACGCCTGCGCACTGGAGTTTTCCAAAAGCAATACAGCGGCTAGAGAAGGCCGACTTGTTTTAGTTCAGGCGATCTAGTTGTGTACATAGAGTAGCACGTGTAACTTTCCAACTCGAAAGCTTATGTAGATTATATATGTATTATGAAGGTTTTGTAATTGTGGTTTGTTGTCGATAATAGTGAGAATCAGTGAATAGGAGCTGTTCCGCCAGGTGAGGGATTTATGATAAAAAGTGAAAAGTTTGAGTTGCTAAGTTCAGTGATTACTTTCAGCTTTGTTAAGTGCATTTGCGAACATGGGAAATTGAGAAGAATTCACTGTTCTATAGTGATAAGAGGCTAAAAATCAATGTCTTCCTTTAAACATACATGACTCTCTCGTGGAGGTACACCTTCTTTGTTGCCTCATTGTCCTGCTTACTTCAATCGCCCACGCACTTCCTACAGATAAAGTCCTCAAGAAAAGAAATCGAGTTTCGAAAACAAGTATGCTTGCTGATATTGAAGAAAGTGCCGAAGAAAACATAGCAAGATTAAATAAAATATATTTCAGTACTTTTGACGAACTAAGAAGCAAACCGGAGTTTATTTTGGACGATTATTAATAAGTAAGACAATTATTTTTCATCACATTGATTGTAATTTCTCCCCTAAAATTATCAATTCAGTTGTGGTGGATAAGGAATAGAAACTCAGTAAGTATTATTGTAAAAAGTATTAAAACTTGGAGGTCCTACAATATCAGAGAGTGTACGAATGAAATTAGTAATGTTTTAGAAAAAGTTAAGTTAAAGTTATGTTTTAATACTAGTAGTAGAAACAGTTCGCATGATGGTTTTGCTTCAATTTCACCTCTTACTTTAAATCAATAATACAAATTCACAATGTGCCAAACCTGTTGCTTTTATGCTGGAACAAATAAAATTCCTTACTACGAAAAGAAGTGCGCATCAGTACAGTTAAAGGTTTTTCACAATGCCTTGTATGCTATTTACCATATTCTTTTAAATATTTCAAACATTTAAAGTTCATAATATTTCGTCATCCTAATGCAATTAGGAGATTGTGTTCATGTGGTTCAAAACCTCAAAAGGAACGAATGGAAAACAATTTTTTAAAGTACAAGAAAAAAATGCTTACATAAATTAAGTGATAGTGATAAATTAGTGACTGTCATAATAGATGAGATACATTTAAAGTCAGTTATGGATTTTAAAGCATATAATATTGTGAGAACTAAATGTAATAACCAATTACTGGCATCAACTGCTTCTACATTCATGATACCAGGCATAATGTAATATACGAAAGAGATAGTATACATCGTACTTGTAAATCAAATGTGTGCACCGGACTTGCAAAATATTTTGAGAAAAACATGTTGGGATTATAACAGGTAAGATTTCATTTACGGTGCGTTGTTAGTGATAATAACCTTATTAATAGAAATTGTATGCTTTTTTCGCCTGGAAAACGATTTAAATTTATGTACAATCTTCCAGTTGAAGAAAGCAGACCTCTTGTCTTCATATTTGATAGTGCAATTAATGATATTTTTCATCTGGGAACTACAATTTTACTTTACTGCCTTCTTCGGCGGCCATCTTGACTGATTGCTCACGGCTTGTATATCTAGGTGGTATTGCTTCGTCGCGCCGTCAGTAAAACAGTGTCCCTGATACGATACTCCGAAACGTATGTTTTGCATCTGATGCAAGCATTCTTAAAGGGACATCAAATGCAGTACAGTACACGGTTGCAAGGAGTGTACAAGAGAAGCAAATTTAGAAATGCGCCAGGAGCGACTCCATTATTTCAAGTAATGCTGCAAAACAAAATGTCTAATGAAAATTTTCCAGAAGTTTGCAAACTTCTTCGAATTCTTCTCACTAGTACAATGACTTGATTAGAAGCTGAACGATCATTTTCAATAATGAAGTGGATAAACATATTTCTTGACAAATACAATGACAATGAAGCGATCGTGCGCCCTCGCAATGCTGTCAAATGCTTATAGAGAAGCAACGTATCCGAGAAACCAGTTACTTCTGTGAATTAGTGAAATTTGAGTGTCTGAAAAATCGTCGATTGGATTTTCAATTAAAATATAAAAGATAAGATTACAATTGTATCATTTCTGGATAGATTACTCAAATTAACAACAAATGTCTCGTTCAGAATGTTGCCTAATTAAACTATACTAACATGGAGACTGTATGTTCAGAAAAGTCTAGGCTGTTTATTGTTAGTTACATCCTACTCAAAATATGATAATAATAATAATAATAATAATAAAATCGTAATAATAACAATAATAAAAAATAAAAATAATTTGGTTCTCACTATAATACAATCTTCATATAATTGAAAATTAACAATGTTACTTCTTTTCATGATTACGCTAGATATTGAAAAGGATGAAGAATGTATGTTTAAATAGCTGTTACCTTAACATCTTGACAGTCTTTGATAATTTTTGCATTTTGCGTCCAAATAAGGTCTGGCAAGGGTAAGCCTCTGACTTCACATTCAAGTTGTATTTTTCTTCCTGCTCGAGCCATGATATTTGACAGTGGTGTAACGAATACTGGAGATTCTGTTAATTCTAATGCTGTTAAAAAGATTTAATTCAGGTTAAAATTATAAATAGTTTTACAGAAATTACACTAAAGGTAGTTTCAACAGGTTTTCAGTCTTTAGGAGAACCTTACCTTCAACAGTCAGCTTTGCAGAACATTTGTCAGTTCCCAAAGGATTACTGGCTTTGCAAGTATATTCTGCCTGATCCTCAAGAAAAATTTCCTCAAATTTAATAACTGCTTCACCATTATTGTAAGTAATAACATAATCTGAAGAATTGTCAATACAAGTACCGTTCTTAAACCACTGAACGGTAGGTAATGGATTGCCTTCTACAGTACACATCAAATATAAAGTTGACCCTTCCTTTGCAGAACTTTCTTCAATTCTTTTCGTAAATACTGGAGGAAAAAGTTGCTCTTCAGGTTCAGCCTCTGCAAAAAACAAAATTAATAAACTACCTCGTGCCTTCCACATAAAACATTTTTCATTACCACAATACAAAATAATTATATTTTTTATTTTCATACCAAGTCTAATACAAATTATGATCATGTGATATATTTGAAAAATCATGTCATATCAAAAGAGTCTGAAATGAAAGACGTCTTGCCTTGATAAACTAAAACGTGCAACCGTTCGCAATGGAATTGGTCGTAGAAACGTGAACAGATACTTAGCTCAAAACAAGTTACAAAATATCAGAGGTATTGACAGAAATTCTCATGAGTTTGATGACCAGCAATGCAAGTGTCTGCAGCTTATAAATATCGGGCGATGGGATCTGGGCGGCGTGCTCAATACGGGGACGAACGTACTACCGCCACCCACCATAACATGGCGGTTTTCGGGGAGTGCTCACACGCCCAGTCATATATCTCAAGGCGGGCGCAGAGATGGTCAATTGTTTTGCAATGAGTTCTGCTTTTCTCTCTCATTGCTATAATATTTGAAAGTAAGCATTCTTTACAACTGTTATGCAAGAGATCAGACAAATAAATCGCCACTAAGAAAGATTAATAATAATTATAATAATAATTAGTGGCCTGCAGCAGCAAAACTGCCGCTGAATTATATCAGACAAAACAGTTTACCAAAAAATAGGATGCATATTTCACACTGGTAAAGAACAATAAAAAAATAGTGGTGCTACAAAAGCAAATACTTTCTCGCATCGCTCATTTCTAACAGCTCTTCTCTATTATACTACTGCATAAACTCTTTAAAATGTTTTCAGCCAGCAACAACTTATTTCCGCTCTGAGACCTAACTCACGCCCTCAGTGTTAACTTGCCGGCTCTCATACCCCTACGCCACAGAAGTTCTGTATGTTAATATTCTGAACAGTTGGGGATGATACGGTAAAAGAAAAACGATGTTGGTCCCATGGGTACTGTTTATAATGTATTTAAATTTCATGTGGTTGTTTCATTAGTTCACTTAAATTGGTTCATACAGATGCACAGAAAGACAACAATTGATTTGACGTGATATACATTTTAGAAATCGAATAAGAGATTTGAAAAAATGTTTATAAATTGCAAATTCGAAAAGCACATACAGATTCGCCCGTATTATTTATCTGCATTGATTTGTGATTAGAAGTGCTTCAAATGTTTTTTAATAAAGTTTCTCGAATTCTCAGTAGTTTTCTGAAAGTACATATTCTTGAGAAATAAGTAACAAATCAAAAACCCTACGCTTGACTCGAACCGGCGCACCTCGGCCATCCGTGTCGGCCACGGGCTCTACACTTCCATACTAATCTTACAGACATAACTGTTTCAGGTTTGGCATTAGGGAGAAGACAAATTGAGAAAATGTGAAAACATGTTCTTTGTGCGACAAAAGAAGGCATCTGAGAAGAAAAGGTCTAACCGAAAAGCTAGTCCAGACTAAAGAGATTGAAAATTAAATAGGGCGAGAAATTCTGTGTCATTTTATAGCACTAGTAGTTTATTTATTTACCGTGCGTTGTTACGTACGAGAAACTTTAATGAAAAAATCGTGCGTGTTTTGAGATTTTTTAAACAATTGCATAAATTGCAGACACTAATTAAGCAAAATCAGTGCATTTTTCAAAAAAATTGAACGTGACCCTTTTTAAAGAGCTGTTTTTACAATAGACTGTGTTTGAAGTAAAAATCGATATCCCTAATTTTGTACGTTTGATATGTTCACATTTTGGCATTTTCGAATAAACGGAGCAATAGCCGAAAATGGGACTAGCAACATATATTTTTACCGTCCTTTATCAAGTAGGAGCAGAAAATTTAAAGAAAAAATTGGAGCAGTTTTTGAGAAAAAATGCCTATATTTCGCGCAGTTACACAGAAACTACTCATATTTTCGAAAAATTGTATACGAACTAATTTAAAATCCGCCTTTGAGGAAAAGATTTCCTTAAGGAAAAAATCTATCTTCAACATTAAAGTTGTAGGAAGACGCCCAAAAATTGCTCTTTTTCAATATTAAAAATCTGTGATTTCAACGAACTCGAGACCTCCACTTAAGCGTTCCTCTTCAGCGTCTATTCCTCTTAATCGAAGACAAATTTTGATTAAAAATTTGGTGCCGTTTTTGAGAAAATTTTAAAAATTGTTTTGAAACTTCATGTTAAGTACCTGAAACATCAAAATATTCGTTTAAAATTCTCAAAGCTATAAGTTTATTTAGTTCGATTGGGGAATACCAATTTTGAAGAAAATCGGCTGAACGGTTTAGGGGCTAACGTTGAACAAAGACAGACAGACATACAAGTTTCGCCGTCAATCGATATTTCGGTATCAAGGACTCACAAAATAAGGATTCCGGTTACACCACGTGTCAGAGGAAGTTCTTCATAAAAACGGAAAGTAAAAATACACTGCAACCAGTTAAATATTTTATTAAAAACGCCTGTCAGTCTTCTCAGATATTGCAATTACAAAGAATAGTATATATGGATACACAGTACAGCACTTTTTTACATGCCAAGAAAATAAATCCAGTGTCGCCTCTTCAGCACATACTTTCTCGCATCATTTGTAACGGCCAGATAATATTTTAATACTACATGAACCTGCAAAAATGTTTCGAGCAAAAATATTTTCTCCGACTTTGAATTCGAACTCAGGCCATGGATGGAACACGCAAGTCACGCTACCCCTAAACTACTAACCTTACAACTAAATTCTACCTTCCCGACGCTTAAGAAAGTTTGAATCGATGGCGATATGCTATTTTCAAAAGTACAGAGTTTTTCATTAACATAATTTTTTAGATCTAGTTTTAATAAAGATATTTCATTAACCAAAAATCTGTATCATCAATGTTGTACAGTGTGTTCACAGAAATGGGTCCTGCGCCATTTTGGGAGTTATTTCTTCTATACGAAGAAGAAAATAAAGACCAAAGTTCTATCCTTTTTGTGAGACTTTTTAATAAATAGCAAATTGCCTTGAAAAAATACGTTTTCAGATTTTGTGTGTGCGTTATGTTTCTTAAATAGTATCTGTTTCTTAAAACGGTTTCTTATGTTTCTTAAAACGGTATACTACAAAATAAAACGATAATAAATACACCCACTCTTGTACGAATATTCCTATCTCTCCTAGACGTCTGCAATTTAGATGACAAACTTTAGAGCTCTATATCTCCTCCACTACACTTAGTTACAATGCCTCCTCCACCACCCTCAGTTGTAGTTGTGATAACTGATTTTACTCTGTAATTCTGTCTGGATTCATGAATGTCGATCAAGATACCATTTGAAAACGATGGAAACCATGTGGAACAACGGTGAGCGAGAATATAGTACGTATTCATGAGTTGCGTAATACTCTTCAAACGGTTTTGCTCACTGGACACCGGCGAGGAGAATGCATTATGGCAATTGGGAGACGTCTTATGCGCACGATAATCAGGAAGTTATGCATTCTAGTGGATCGATGCGGTCGCTCAGTGAGGGGGTACTACAGCTACTTCTGACATTACCGACTTGTCTGAGAGTGAAATATGATTGTTTTGTGAAGGAATGCTCTATTTTGCAGGTATATTAAGTCTAAGAAGTAATGAAAATTTGAAAATTAATTCAGGATTTCAATTTAAAAGCAAAGATGCAAAGTAACTACAAATAAGACATTTACCTTGCACAGATAGAGTTCCACACGTTTCAGCGAAGCCTTCCGAATTAATTGCTTTACAGGTGAAACGAGCTGAGTCTTCTGAAAAGGTCTCCTCGATGGCTAATGTACAAATTCCATTGTCATATGATGTTCGATAATCAGGATTATCCTGAATAGAAATGCCATCTTTGTACCAAATAACTTCAGGAACAGGGAAACCTGCAACTCTATAGCGTACAATTTTCATACAATTATATTCCTGCCAACTCTTGCTTTCCTTTCATTTAGCTGATGAGCAGTTCTACCTGCATTCGAATGTAAATCGTTGCCCTTCTTGTACAGTAGCATCTTGCAAAGGAACTGTGAATGTCGGTGGACTCAATCTCTGTTCTTCATCATTTATTTTTGCTCTCTTAGAAGGAGGACTAGGTGACTTTCTTAATCTCTCGATGACCTCCACAGTATCACGAGAAGAAATAACTGTTGTCTCCGCTTCAATCTGCAACATAAGATACATCCGCATGTAATGACGTTTTAAAATAATGCATAGAACAAACCAGGAGGCGGGGCGCATAGCAATGATTACTTTCTGCTACAACCTTCGGGGTTTATAAATGAAATAAAGATATGGATAATGGCATTTTGAAAGTGGTAAGAGTGCTATCATAAGTATCTGTGACAATAGTTGTTGGTAAATAAAAATTCGTTTGAGGCTTCCGCGGCCGGAGTCTGTATTAACTGGGCTGTCCGGGTGACGCCGCTCCATGGCGAAGGTGCCGACGTTTCGGTCACCATTCTGCGAACTTCCTCATTACCAGAGCCTCATACCAGAGCATTGCGCCCTGAGGAAGGTCGCAGAATGGTGGCCGAAACGTCGGCACCTTCGCCATGGACGCGGCGTCACCCGGACAGCCAAGTAAAAAAAAATAAAAAATAGTTTTCCAATATGCAAGTATACACTGCCACGAAGACATGTATTTCCTTCGAATTTTACTGCGAACCATCTTGCCAATTTTACAGTCAATATCAATCCGTCAATGCACTCGTTCAAAGAGACAACATTGCTTGCTTACGTGACTGACAGGCTCTAGCTCTGCTGCGATATTTTACTAATTTTTATTACTTTTCTGCATCTTTCAGGTACTATTTATTGATAAATTGTTTTCTTTACTTGCTTACTTCTTACAGATAAGGTGAAAGAGATATATATTGTCGAAGCAGTGCAAAATATGTAATATTAGTTCAAAAGACGGCGTAAGGGACAAACGTGTGTGTGCACGAGTTTCAAGACTTCCAATACGTATTTGCTCTGTACAGATACTATCACTGAAAGTTTTTTGATATTTTTGAAAATCATCAAAATTCAATATTACATTTATAACAGTAACGGGAAAACTTAAAATTTTATGTTTCAAATTGTTGAATATGAAAGTGGTGAATTGTGTGTCCTTTCAGTAGGTAAAGTATAGTAATCTAATTTAATTTATTAGTTTACAGCATAGATCTATTGCTTTGAACACATTGAGCTTCTTTCGCATTTAATTAATCAATCACATTTAAATACAAATTAGAATCACATACCTGTTATTTTTCAAATAAACACCTATTAAATAACTTCAGGTACGAATTTATTAAATTAAACGTATTGATTTAAGTTGCGTATTTATTAAATTCTTTTAAATTAAAAGGATATTGCTTGAGAACATGCTTTCTACATTAGTCTGAGATTTCATCTATTTATTCTCATATATACCACGAACTTTGATACCCATTCCTGGCATGCTACTGTTCTATATAAACTTCCTACTCTGCACACTCTCAAAGCCGACCTTCTGAAAGCCTTCACACACATAAACAATAATTGATATCAACATATCCGAAGGCTCGAAGAGGTCGTTCAAAACATAGACGGTTGGACAACAATAGGCAACACCGCGGAAACTTCCAACCGTTCATCCGCGAAAGCAAAAACACAATCACCACTACCGATGACGACTGAAAACCTATTTTCTGTATTAGTGTGACAATGAGTATCCTTGCCTTCCGAATCCTCACTACTCCCTCCCATCATCGACACGTCCATTCACAAACCTTCGCAAACAGGCTAGCAAGCGCAAAGAAACAAAGACACGTAGAGTTGCGCAACCTGACTCACAAGTAAACAAGGACATTTCCACTGAGCCCATCAAAGAGGTACTAATTTTAACAGATAGCCATGGGTGACAAATCTCTTTCCTTCTCAGTGGGAAATCCAATTTCTGGCAGTGGTGTTTTTAAACCAAACGGGAGTTTTGCAAACGTGACCAGTGAGTTGGACACCCACACAAAAACTCTCACCAAACGGGATACAGTCATCATTATAGGAGGGCAGAATGACATTAATTTGGGTGGTAACTTTACAACTGACCAACATGCTGACAAACGACAACGCGCCGCCCAAAACACGAACATCATAGTCTTGACTCTCTCCTTCTGGTACAACAAACCAACACTGCAAAGAAATGAAACACGCAAACAACCAATTGAAGCTGCATCTGAGAGACACACATGTTAAATTATTTGAGCTGAACCTTCTCTCAAAAAAACACTTCACCCTGCATGGTCTTTACCTGAACCTTGTCGGAAAACATGCACTCGGTAGGGAGCTTGCAAAACACATCCTTTCACAACCTCGGCAGTGTCCTGACCAAGACCCACCCCCACCCACATTTCCTAGTTCCCTTCCATCCTCCGGGACCTCTTTGAACTCAATTACCTTATCTCCTGAACCTAATCCTTGTACTACCTCTCCCATTATCCATTCCTCTACATCTGTCGCCCCTCCGTACTCAACTCCAGTCACTGTTGGGACACGAGGGGCGACCCTGGGTAAAAATGAGATAAATAAATAGCTACTACAGTTAAATGCAGCAGAAAAGCATCCGTGTAGGTATATGCAAGAGATTCGAATAATGCATCACAATGTCAAACACTTTCAAATAAAAATTGAATTTATCGAGGCAGCTTTACAGTGTGATCTGGGTCAAATAGACGTTTTTTGCTTTACAGAACATTGGTTGTCTCAAATTGATATAAACACACTCCAAATTCCTAGTTTTTACCTTGCAGGTTCGTAATGTAGAGCGTGGATATAAAATAAGGGCCATGCTTACGTAGGTTCGTGTATTTACGTAAGACACGATATTGATTATTCTTTCTTGTCAGAATTCAATTTATATGCGGTTGAAAAAGCTTTTGAAATAACAGTCTTACTACGCAAAAAAATATCTTATTTTGCATTACAGGCCCCCAACAAAGCGAGCTTGAGAAATCTAGAGAAAACACTGAACATAATTAGTAATCGCTCTTTTAAATCCATTGTTGTATGCGGAGATTCAAATATTGATTTTCCGAGTGAATCTCACGAAAAAAGAGCAGTTTTTGAATTTACTTAATTTTTTAATTTAGATATTACAATGAATGTACCTACACGGAATACATTTAACGCACAAAAGGCAATAGACCAAATTATAATTAACAAAACCACAACTAGATATGAAATAATAACAAATAACCTAGTGACCATGATGCACAAATCCTTACAAAGACTAATAACATGAACACTGACGCAATAAATATACACGCATGTGCAAAGCATTCACTAAAATTATTTACGAAATATTTGCTGAAGAAATCATGGGGCGTAGTTTATAACGCTAGTTACAGAAATGAAAAATATAATTTATTTTTCTCAAAGCTTTCATTTCACTTTAACGCATGCTTTCCTCTTAAAAAGAGAAAATTAAAATTTTCGCGGAAAAGTAATTCTTGGATCACCCAAGGAATTAGAACATCGTGTAAAAACAAACGTACGCTTTACTTTATTTCTAAACATCAAAACGATTCATCTGGTTTCCATGTCTACTTCCAAGAATACAAAAGAATTTTAAGGAAAGTAATAGTGCAGGCAAAAATAATCAGGATATTTTGAACGCTGGTAACAAAAGTAAAGCAATATGGAATATTGTAAGAAATACGACCACATTATCTCGATATTTTGTAGAGAATGTTGTTTTAAAGGATAATAAAAGAAAGAAAGTAATCCGGAAAAAGTAGCGAATCTCTTCAACCAATTCTTTTCCAGAATTGCGGCTGATTTCACAAAGGTTCTAAAACCACAAAATTCAACATCATACGCTTCCCAAAAAATTTTCGACACGATGTTTATTTCTGAAAATTTAAACCTACCATTATACATTAACATACATTTTTATTGCTTACACGTTAACATACATTTTCAATGCTTCTTCATACACAGGAATATTTCAAGATATTTTTAAAATAGCGAACATTAAGCCACTTTTTAGAAAAGGGATAAAATTAAATTTCAAATTACCGACCAATTTCTCTTTTGTCAGGTTTCTCAAAAAGATTGCAGAGGCTTTCCTATACGTGAATGGAAACATTTCTTAGGAAAAACGAAGAATTTTCAGTCTCATACAACGGTTTTAGAAAAGCAAAATCTACGAAAACTGCCATTTTTTCTTTTCTTTAAAATGTTGGTTCATCAATGGACCAAAATGAAGCACCCATTGGAATATTTTTAGATCTTTTGAAAGATTTTGATGTTATTGACTACAACACCCTGCTCTGAAAATTACCTTCATATGGAATTCGTGGTATTGCCCTAGGCTAGATAACCTCGTACCTTTAGCATCGATGAATAGATGTACTGGAACGAAAGGACATTTTTTAAAAAAATTGTTGCGTCTACATGCAACGCGTCTCCTAGCTCTTTACGGAGCGTAGAGGGCACTGGAGTAATCCTCCGTAACAAGCGTCCTAGGGACCGCTTAGTAGTCAGGTCACGTCAGTCGCAGTCAAGTCAGGGAATCGCCGACACGTAGCGTCTTCGCGCTCGCGTCTCGCACGCGCCTTGCGTCATCTACCCATCGGATATGAACCTAGAGAGGGAAGCCGAGTAAACCTACGTATAAAACGCATATTTTAGATGTCTCACTGCAAGAAAAGAAGAGAGTCAAACGTGGGATAATCACAAAAGTATTCAGATAATTTGATGAAACATTCATAGCTTTAAGGTAATATATCATCTGTAAAATACTTCTAGAATTGCTAAATTATAATTTACCAATTAAACAAGTTTGTTATCTGCGAGATAATCAAACACAAGACTCAATTTTTTTGTTCCATACCATTGATGGTGAATTCCCTCTCTTATTGGACTCCTGAGTTTCCATATACTGTAATATTACGGTATACTTATGTTTGTGTGAGAATATAAGTCTCAAATGAAACCAAACTTTGAGTTACACGATACTGTAGCCAAAACTAATATTCAGGCATTACAATACCGTTCCGGAGGCTGCCTGGAAACAGAACGAACTGTGGTCGATATTGAATTATAATCTATTTGTAAAATACTTAAAAACAACACTAGTGATGCACAGCACATTTTATCGCATTATTACTAACTTTTGCATTTCAGAGAGTTCAAAGAAAATGAGACACGCGCAAAGCCATTAAATGCTCTTCCTCTATCAGAAGGATAAATGTAACGAAAAAATTGGGCCTGTTTAAGAGAAAAATGTTTTTTTATCAATTTTCTTTATTCCAAGCAAGAAATACGCAAAAACTATTCGTTTTTCAAAAAATATTTATATGTACATGACTTTATTGAAATATCTATTTTTTCGAACAGGGTTCACTAGGGAAAATCTCTACAAACAATATTGTACCTTTCAATGTTAAATTTTTGCAATTTTCGAAAATACAAAGAGGTCACAAAAAATGGGACCTGCATCAGTTTTGTAAGTGTTTTTTAATTTCTTCCAGAACAATTAACCCACGAATTTCTGAAAAACAATTTCCAATTTGTGGTTTAATTTTTCTAGAAGATCTTAAAATACACTTCCAAAACTGATGCAGGTCCCATTTTTTTGTACGTAATGATATATATATATATATATATATATATATATATATATATATATTTGTCTTTGAGAAACAGATTTTAATAAAGAAAAAATATATTGGTTGCAGGAATACGCTGAAAAAGTTTGAACTAATGCAATCATCCAAAATACAGAGAGCTCAACAAAAATGAGACTTGCGCCATATTTTAATCTTAGAATAAATAAAATAAATTTCATTTGCGTTTGTGCTCTATTCTAGAAAAAAACTTTAATTCAAATATTTGAAGCCATTTTTGAGAAAATGATGTTGACGCATCTTAAAGTGAAGTTCCTCCCCAAATCACAACATTATTTTAAAACTCGAAGGGCTTTTACTTTGGCCAGATCGATTAAGGAATGTCACTTTTGGAGAAAAACGTCTGAAAGGTTTAGCCGCTAGGGTTGATTATAGACGGACAGACATATGTTCTGCCGTAAACAATTTTTTCGACATGAAAGACCCCCAAACCGTTGATTCCCTCTATGCAACTTATTGGAGGAAGTAATATACTACATACATGGTTTTCACAGTGAGTAGGAAAGAATATATGATGTTTTCTTGTGGTTCAAATAGACTAATAGTTGTTAATAATGCACGAAACTCCAAGAGAGAAACATTGAATTCATAATTATTAAATCGTTTCAAATTTACAATACCTTTTCAAGAATTGGCATAGCTTCCTGTAAGACTTTTGCAGCTGTTTCAGCTGCCCTTCTCGCTTCCTCGGCTGCTGTTGCTGCAGCTTTAGCAGCAGTTGCTTCTGCTTTGGCAGTTGCTAAAATAGCTTCAGCTTCTTCCATTTCCTGACAGTAATACCAAAGAAAAATATTTTAATTTTATTTACATTCATGAAATAGTTATTCACATTTACGTTATTATCATAATTAATTATCATCTTGTGATACATTTCGTATAATACCACAGAGATATTTCTCACTCACTATAATGAAGTTGTCAACAACAGATATATAAATACGAAGTTGTTTGCCTGCAAAAGGGGTTGTTAATCCAAATACAATTTTAATCACATTGAAATCTTACCTTTAATAATATACGAGTATATTTTGGTGTATGTAGGAATGTATATCCTTATGGGAGCTCGTTTTTGTGAATGATTAATATTTAACCTACTTGAGAATGAAGGATCGTAGTAAATGAAATAATAGTAATAATAATAATAATAGTAATAATAATAACAATAATAACTATTCAGCTCATTATCTCAGACTGTAGTGTACTAGCCTACATTTTGCGTAAACTCTTGTAGAGTATTCGAATGTAATCTCTAGATATATTTCTGATTACTTTTAAATTCATCTCTAGCTTGAAGTTAATAAACATTCTCCCACAAATGCGAAGAGTGATCCTCTCATCCACCTCCTTTCGCTCATTTTCACTCATGTCGCGCTTGCCAGAAATCCTTTCCCCTAATTGTGTACGTAGTTTCTTGATTGACCTCACATTTATATATAATTTTTATTTATTATAAGTAAATGTCTTTTTAGTGATAAGGCGCATGTTATTGGACCTGCTCTTCCTCATGCGCCTTATCACTAAAAAGACATTTACTTATTTATTTAATTTAAAAAAGGAGCCTTTTTAATAAAATATTATAGATGATATTGGAATATTTTCACTATTACACACACAACAACACGTAAACTACTTATTTTGTAAAAGGTGTACATGACATTATTTTCCGACCTAATTTTCAGGAAAATATTTTACTAACAAAAATCTTTATATTGAATAATGTAGTTGTAAGAGAAAGTCGATAATATTTTGAAATTTAGAGCCAAATATTTCAGAGTTATTTACAGAAACTTTTGAAAATGTCCTATGCGTCTAATACATATCACGTATCCCGAAATAAAAAGATCCTTACAAATTCTTGAGGCTTCGAGTGTGGGAAAAGGCACATCCATTTTGTGGGAAAAAAGTGTTAAGGCCATACTGTTTTCAACTGACGAAGAGACTAGCGGTGGAAACTAGCGGCGGAAACTAGCAAAATGTTTTGAAAACATTGAGAGAGCTGCAAATTACTGAATACCAGTCGTATTGAGTTAGCACTGCATTCTTGGTTGACGTCCGAGACGCTAGTTTAAGTCCGTCGAACACAGCAATAAGCAACAATTACCACTTTAAGTATTCAAAGTTCTTTAATTCCGGCAATGACGATGAGTAGTGTTTTAGGAAGAACCGAATTCTTCAAAAATAAACATTCTTTCATCTAGACGCTCTTATCTACAAAACATCAATCGTCCACAATCTCTTAACACTAAAAAATAATTTAAATTGTGACATAAAATATCGATACAGTTCTCGCCTGGAAACGGTAGCGAGCGGACGTGCGCCGAGCGCTCTCCTTCACGGGCGACTTCA